ATGATGAAATGGTGGCCAATGTGTGTGACTAGCATCAATCCCTGCCAATGGTTTTAGATTTAACTTCTGCTTCAGGGGTAGAGCACTGAAGTGGTTCATATGTTATCTTACCAAGCAAACTGTCTGTGTCTGTCTTGGTTATGTGTCCACCTCTGCTCCTCCTTCATGTGGGATCCCATAGGGCTCTGTTTTGGAGCCCCTCCTGTTTTTATTTATTAATTTATTTATTTTTACTCCCTTGGGTCCAATTTTAGAAAGCATGGAATTTATTTTCATTGTTATTCTTCCGGATGGAAGACGAAACGTTTCTCCCTTAAAGAAACTGGTCCAGAAGACATGATTAAACCTTTTTTGTTATCTACCTGGATGATTGAGCCATAAAAGCTTTTTTTCATTGTTATGCAATGTCATAAGATAAAAGTCAAGCTTATGTCTGCAAAGTATGAGGACATGTATTTTCTTAAAAACCACCATCTTGACGACTTAAAGACCATGGTCCTGAACATTCTAAATTTAAACTGAAAGACTGAAATTATGGGGTTTGGCAGTTCCACTTAGACCCCCTGAGTGGCTCTAGATTCCTTGGCCCACTCCAAACATCACAAACCTGAGGTGGATGTTGATATAAAGCTTGATAATTGAATCAGCACAGTGGTTAATCAAGCTTTTTTTTCAGTTGAGGCAACTGGCTAAAGTAAAGTTAAGCTAATGTTTTCTAAACAGCACTTTGAGGCAGTAATCTACTACGTCTTCAATACCACTTGTCTAGATGCTGGTGAAGACTCTCAGTCATCCAGGACATGATAAATTCAAAAAAATGTTCAAGACAAAAACAACTGGACTTTATTTGTAACAGAAGACGTTTTGCTTCTCATCCGAGGAGCTTTCTCAATCCAAAGAGCAGAGAGTGAGGGGTTCAGGTTATAAGGCTGCGTGAGATAAGATACACACACATCTGTAGATTGACAAATCACACATAAAGTTAAGTGTTAAGGTGTTTAGGTGTGCATTGTCAAATCTGCATATGTATGTGTATCTTATCTCATGCAGCCTTATAACCTGAAC